GAGTCACCCTTCTCTCTGAAGCCGTCCTTGGTGAGAGAAATGTTAGAAGTGTTGGAAAGATCGAAAACCTGAATCTTGTTGCTCATATCTATTTATATTTACTTATTGAATTCTTTAAGTGATCATAGTTTCCACCTAAGCGTTCACAGTATTGGCACGGATCATGATGAGGTGCATCTGGGTCGTCGCTGTAACATCGTCTTCCAACTCGATTTCGAATTGGATCTGATTCGATGCTCGCATCGGGAACCACTCGGCTAACGGGAAGGCAAAGATTCGGAACTGATTCAACCACGTCTTGTACGTCAACAGCGTGTCGTACTCGTCGGAACGACTATTGCAAAGATAGTCCATCCATTCGAAGAACGTGTAATCAATTCCATCAGGTGTGTTCGTGTTGTCCACATTGATGATACGCTTCTGTTCACCAGCGATGTTCAATGAGATACGCTTGAATCGAATGTCCTTGAGTGTCGAGAAATCACCATTGTCGTCCGTGAACATCATGAACATCATCTTGACGGGGAAGTTGACCAGCACACGATCATCGATGAAGTTCTGGCCAGTAGGAATACGGAACGTCTTGGTCATGATCTGGTTCTTCACCAACTGAGTGTCCTCAGGATCGAAGGTCGAATCATCACTCGTCTTGTAACTGTGATACCAAAGCGTGCACGTGTCGAAATACACACCGGTGAAAGCCGTGGCTGATGGAATAGCGTCCGGACTTGTAGCGGTATTGATTTTGCCAGCATCGATGTAGAAGTATGCATCGTCGTTCGTGGGATAGATCTGAGCATCCATCTGCGTGAGAATGATGAATCGTTCCTGAGAACAACCTTCGAAGATGTCTGCAAAGTTCACATTGATCGTCGTGTACGCCGTGGTCGAATTGTTGGGCTGTACGAACTTGAGCATGTTGTAGAATAACTTCCCGCCATAAGGTCGACCCAGGATGGCCGCAGCTCTCTCGGTTTCATCGTCAGTATCGTAGTCACGGTCATCGTAGTAGATGTAGGACAGTTTCTTCAGTCCTTCGTTCACCACATTGTTGTGCTTGTTGTCCGTGAGTGCATTCAAGAGTGACCGAATCTGACCGATGTTTTCATTGTCTGCACTCAGAGGCAAAGATGCCAAGTTCTCACCATTCCAATAGGTGTACGTGACCTTCGTGTTGTTTACAATGCCCGACATGTTCTTCTTCACCGGAACATAGATATCCTTCGACGAACTGCTCGCATTATTTGCCAATCCGGTGATCTTGAGCTTGAAAGTTATTCGTGACTTGTAGAGATTGAAGTACACGTCATCACCGGATGGAGCGATCGTCCAATTGATCACATCGGTCGACTTGATGTTATTGGACTGATTGCTGAACACAATCTGCGATTCGTAGTTATGTACAGGAGGAATTGTAGTAGCCATTTATTGTAAAGGAAAAACTATTTTCTCTCCTCCATAGTAAATGGCAACACCAACACAACCTGAGAAACTTGTATATCTCCAGAACGGAGTGTTCAAGCGCAAGGAGATGACTGAGGGTATCCAGTACTACTCGGACAACTCTTTCGACACGTTCGCATTTCCGTCGACCAATGGCAACTACGTGCTTACCAAGACTGGCGATGAGCTCACATGGTCCGAAGAAAGAGCCGAACTTACTTCCATCGATAACACGTTTTTCAAAGGATCGGACGGACAGGCATTGATTGTCGGTACACAAGGAACCATTCCGTTCTTCAAGACTAATACAACCTTTGGAGGAATCGATTTGCCGTCCAGCGGAATCTATGTTCTCACAACGGATGACACTACGCCTTTATTAGAAGTCTTCGATGAGTCATTGATATTCGGAACAATGGGCTACGACAACACGTCCAACAGGTATGCGATTGCAAACTGGAATTCGACCGCGAGCAATCATAAGGACCTTGTATTGCCGAACAAGAGCGGATCATTCTTCCTTCATGCAGACTCGAGTAACAATTATGACTTCGCCACAATCAATGCCAAGAGTTTCTTCCATGACATCCTGGGAATTGAATCCGATGCACAGAAGATCGTGATATATTGGGATGATCAAGCATATGGATTATCACTTCCGACCACGACAGGTTATGCTACGTTCAAGATCGAGAATAGCAGTACGTCGCCAGTCATTACCAATCTAACTCCTTCGGTAATCTACAAAGACATCCTGGGTTGTACGAGCGAGGAACATTGCCTTGTGTACAATAATGGCGATGAAGTGAGCAAATTGGCGATCCTGACGAGCAGTGGCAAGTATATGTTGGCAGTGAATGGTGATGTGCCGTCCTTCGTTCCACAGGACACCAAGTTGAGTAAGACATTCGAATATACCTTGACGAGTGGTCATGAAATCGTATCCGAATCACTCACATCGGCTGGTACAAATCGAACAGAAGCAATCACGTTGAAAGCCGGTACATCCAACTTGATCACGATTGATACGGTGATTTGGTGTTCGAACTATGAGCAGGTGCTAATGGGATTCACAAGCATGCCGAACCTAGTAATCGGTGCAGACACGGCACGTATTATCAACATTCCATTGAATAATCCCGTGCCTACCACATTTGCGAGTGGTTCGTCCGTGATTACACTGACGAAGACGAATCCACTAACGATCGAAGTGGTTGGTAGTGGCGACATCACGATCACACATTACTCCCAACAATTGAAGGTGAGCGTGGTTGAACTGTAGGCGGTGGAATCAAAACCAAAGTGAAAGACAATCCCGCGAATTCACTTTGGTTGCAATCGCACATGTAATTTGTTGTTGGTCTTGACAGTCTTGTTTACCTTCTTATATCCTCTTATGAACTCGTCGATTTCGTACTGATCAAAGGCTACACCATCGATTCTGATTTCGATGTTTTCATTGAGCGCATCGACACAATGACCATCGATGATGTACTTGTCACCTCCCCAATAATTCAAGTCTGGATGCTTTACGCTGTAGCTATTCTGAAGACAGATATACCGAAGTATTTTCTGGATGTCGGGTGAATAGAACGAAACCATCTGAAGTGTCGTATCCAGATAACATACATTCCAGTCACTAGATCACCGATGAACGAGTTGATCATGTCACATATGTATCGCCGGACAATTTCACGTCTTTCTTTAGTCATCCAGGAATCCATTTCTATTTATGAATACATTATTTCACTTTAATTTATGTTGGACTGATTGTGATGTCACTTCCACTATCATCTTCGGATTCATTCTTTTCGTTGTAAACACATAGACAGCTACAGTGATCTTTGCATTTCGAGTCAACCACCAGTTTGTGATTCTTCCTCTTACTCATCCATTTCCATATCCCTTTCAACCATTGAATAAAGCGGTTCATTTATGAATGAGATCAAGGAACTACGCAAGCCAGCAAAACGAAGAGGTGCAACTCGAGTGATCATCATTGGGTTCAAACGGAACATATACTTCATCGATCTCATCGATTTCTATTCCAAACAACACAAATCCATACAGGAAGTATTAGGAAGACAAAAGAGTACTGGATTCTACAAGAATCGTGGATACAAGTATGTCCTTGTATGTATTGATGGATATTCGAAATACCTGATGACTCGGAAACTGAAAAGCAAAAGTGTTACAGAAGGCACTCATGCGATGAAGGACATCATTCAGACATATGGTGAATCACCAAAGCATATTTGCTCGGATCGAGGTACCGAGTTCACCAATACGATCTTTCGTACCAACATCTTGGACAAGTATGACATCACCATGTATCACATGGATTCAGCGAATAAGGCAGTACTAGCTGAACGAACAATTCGAGATATCAAGGAAGACATCATGGTTCCATTCAATCAATCAATCAATCAATGGAAAGGTGTATGGTTCGACTTGATCGATGGTGCAGTTCGTAGACACATTACACTCATTATTTCAAATTCAGTCATTTTTATTATTATTCATTCATAGCTATTATTATTATTGATTGCCATATTAGAAATTCGTAATTCTTTGCTTACATTGATTTAGTATCTTTCATATGCTTAGAATTCAGTTATTATTTTTGATAGCCTAAACTCAATGCATGAATAGTGAAAAGGACAGAAAGTTGCAACAGCAACAACAATAGTCATCGCTAGCAGTGGACCCATCGTTTTACCAAATGATACTGTCAACAATACTATATGCAATACACAATCATCAAATCAATCTATTGATGTGTAGTCACAGCACTCAATCCTATCATGCAAAGCGATGACCAAAATACTACTTTTTATTTTTGCGTCATTCTGAGTCAATTCAAATTGATTTTTCTTTTTAGTTATTTGGGATTGGCATATATTCTACGTATATACTTGTTGCTTTCCAACCATATTTAACCCTTTTTTGTCTTTCCAAAGAGCAATCTAGTTGTTAGAGTAACCAGAATCGTTCGATCTGTTGCTTTCATTCAACTATCAACAAAAGTAGTAGTCATGTTTCCACAATATGACTATTAAATAGATTTGCTTCTCTTGTATTACAAGCATGCTTTTCTTTACAACACGGGTTTCTGGAATTCTTCTTAACTGAGAGAATAAACTATTTGACAAACTTGGAAAACCTGTATATTCGTTATGGAGTATTAACTTTGTGATATCATTCATTATTAATGCATAGAAACGATTTATGTTTTCGGATGTTCCCACAAATGCAGATGCTTTTGCTTATTCTACCGTAATTGACATGGAGCGCAAATGCGAAGATTCGCTTGAAGGATTCCCTACTCTAAAGAAATGGAGAGCTGATTTTGAGAGTTTGGATGAAGTGAAGGCCTATTTGGCTTTATGATAGAAATGATTGATTTCTATGTTCTATAATATTACAAATGTGTTATAGTATTGTGTTGTTTATTGAAACCATTCTATTTATAGACAATATCATTTTGAATCTACAAATGAACAGCAATGGTTAGTTCCTCAAACAATCAGACAGACAATTCTTTATTCTCATTCCCCCTATTTTTTGTTTTCCTCATTTCTTTCACCCTCTTCATTCTGGTTTCCTTCCTCTCCGTCCTCTTCTTCACCCTCTTTAAACTGCTTCAACGATTCATTTAGCAAACTCATAAAAGCATAATCCTGCTTGTCCACAGGATATTCAATATCCTCCTCAAGCTGATGCCATCGGTTTCTCTCCACAGGATTCGTCTTATATTCTCGAATCAGCACGCTTTGACTCTTCGCTTCATCTGCATGCTCCGGTTCACCCGCCAGATCTCCAACGCCTTCATATTCCTCTTCCAACAGATCATGCAGCTTCTGCACATTCTCCAGCGTCACTTTCAGCTTTCCTTCCTTCGTCAGCACTTGGTCCTGGGCAATTCTCAGGTTTCCGTTCTTGTCTCGCATCGACTCCCAGTCCACCGAAGCGCCTCCCGTCGGGATTTCTTTCATCCACTCCTTCATTACAGGGACTTCGAACCAATTCAAATCCATGTAATCCTCTCGCAGCGAGTTCGGAATGCCCGCGTAGAACTCTGCGGCGCTCAGACTTTCGATTCCTCGCTTTGCTGGCTCTCCCACAGTGAACTGCGTAGCAGCCGGATCGGTGAACAAGCGATGGTTGTAGCCAAATCGGTCGAATCCATCGTTCACGTCACTATGCGTGTGGACATCGCGACCGAAGTAATCGGTGTCAGGAAGCAACTCCAGGTCTTCGTTGCGTCCGTAATACTCCAGATTGCTGTCGTCTGAGAGGTGATACAAGTCGTAGATCTGCTGGTTCGAGGCTTCTGAATCCATGATCGTCTCCAAGATGCTCTGGCGCAGCGAACGCGCTTCGTTCACGAATTCGCGATTGGGATCGATCAGAGGAAGCTGGCGGAAATAGAAAATGATCTGATCCCACTGCTCGTGGGGCTCGAAATACTCCTCGATCGCAGTTAAGACAACGTAGGGATCCGCACAGTCCAGCTCCAGCGCATTCTGGAACAGTTCCTCGGAATAGTTGAACTGTTTCTGCCTCGCTGCCAGCACGGCCTTGTCTACCAATAGACGAGGCATCATATGAGTCGCTGTTTCATACGGTTCGTCATCGTCATCTTCATCATCGCTGCTGTCGTCGCCTGCTTCTTCCTCGTCCACTTCTTCATCAGCGTCTTCTGCCCATTCCAATCGACCATCCACCACTTCCACTTCGTCTTGGTATTCATCTATCATTGGTTACGATCCATCCACCCATCTACCGATTAGAACGTCGAGTAACGTGCTCGCCTCTTCGTAGTCTCCACACTCAATACTCATCTACAGAATACAAAAGCAAGGCGAGAATACGCGAATCACCGACCGAGCGAGATCATCCGTCGGCGTAATCTCGTATGCGCGCCGGAACATTTCTTTGGAGAGCTCAAACTCGTTCATCTCCTCCAAAAACTCCGCATATTGCATGAACAGCATCGCGTTCGTGGGAATTCGCTTCACGCCCTCTGCATAAATGTAGTTCAACACACGAGGATCTGCGTGGCCTTCGCACGCAGACAGCAAATACTGGTAGGTGAGCACAGAATCGGGCTTCTTCGCGATCTGCTCCTGAATCGCAGCGAGAGCTTTGTTTCATCACAATTCCACACTCCTCACCTTTGTCGTATTCCTTGTTGCGAAGCAAGGATTCCACGAGATGAGCCGAAATCACGCGCTCTTCCGGGAACTACTCTCTCACCCAGTCTCCAAAATAAAACTTTCGCAGCGGCTTCCTGCGCGAGTTGCTGGTACAAATCGAGCAGCTGGTGGTCTCGCAGGTATTGCAAGTAATACTACGCTCAATGCACTCGTCGATCGCTACGTTCCACGTCTGCGAATCGCTGTTCGGCTGGTCGACGGCTGCTTGAAGCAGCTCCAACGCGGACGATTGGCTGTCGGTGAGTTCGGTGAGTTCGGCGAGCATCTTCACCGCTTGGGGCTGCGCCGAAGCGTCCTGCAAGGCCTGCTTCATCGCTGCAGCCGAGTTTGGGATGTCGTTGAGGAACTACGCCTCATCGAATTCGAAGAGAAGGGCACATAGTAGTACTTCGCGAGCTCGAGCTGGAGAAATCCGGTACCGGGGAGCGAACTGCGCGCCTGAATCGCATGCTGCAGACTAGAAATAGAGAAGGAAGCGAAGATGAGTACATCAGGATGGCCTTCTCGATATATCCATCGTCCAATTCGCGACGTGCCCAGCTCTATCGCTCGTCCGACCCATCCAATCGTACCAGAATCACGTCCAGTTTGTTCGGAGCGAGTTTGACCGCTTGGGAGAATTGGTCACGCATCACTGCTCGCTGTTCTCGCGGGTCCAAAAACAGCAACTCGTCGAATTGCACCGGAGCTTCTTCTGTCTGCTCCCTCTCATTCTCATCGTCTTCGTCTTCGTTATCGTTGTTGTCATCATCGCGTTCGTCGAATAGACGTGTGGGACGTGCATTAAAAGATGACGAAGGGGATTGTGGCTTCTTGCGCAGAGCGGATTTTCGATTGCGAATTCGCTGAAGAGCGCGCTGGTACTTCAGCATGGATTTGAAATCGCCCTAGAGCTCAAACCATCCAGGGAAAGCGCACTGCAGTCTTTTCCAACATGCAAAGATCGGCGAGAATCCCAGTGTGGAGAGGATTGGACTTGAACACTGCTCTCGATACAGAAAGCAAAACCTACGTTCTCGTAGGATCACACGCGCCTCGTCTATGCAGCCTGCTTCGAGCTCCAACATCGCACAGGCTCGCAAGTGGGGAATGTCGGCACTTTTCTAAATGACACTTTCATCCCACGCGTTACAGAGGTTCGAAGATACAAACGAGAAGAGCGCAAGCTGTCGTTGAATTCCTCCGTCATAATCTCCGCAACTCTAGAAACAAGGAAAAAGAAAGCTTCTTACTCATCATCATAATTGCCATCAGTTACAAGTTCTCTGCGTCGGAATGTTGCTTGCATAGAATACGGAGAACTACTCCGCACTCTAGAAGCAACTCCTTTCTCCAATCCCTTTGCTTCCTTTCCATTCCCATTGCTATTCAAACCATCGAAATAACGATTCGAAGTGCTTGAAAACAAGCGAGAGTTCATGGAGAAAGGGGATGACATGGGAAGAATTGGAGACACGTCTAGAACATTAGGAAATAATGAATTCGCCGTTTACTTATCGTTTGAGTGATGGCTCTGACAGATTGGATCAACAATCTCGATTTTTGTATCGTCCTAAGCATTGAACCTCAATGAAACACTAAATGACAACGAAATAAACGTAATGTAAGAGAAAAGCAGAAAGACACTACAGAATATGGAATGAGAAATATGCATGGAGAAATACTATAGATATTGTCTGAAGTGAAAACAAAGTGGTCAAAATCAATCGTTCTACTTATTATTATTGCTTGCTAATAGGGGTCAGAGGTAGAAGATGCAGGAAGTGAGTTGGAATTTGCTATTAGTGGTGTTTTGAGAATCTCGTGAGTAATTTAGGAAAAAAGTGTTGAATCGGGTATAGAACGATTGAAAAGAAGTGTTCTTTTATATGTCGTTTCTCAAGGTTGAGCCAGTTTGCTCATTTTTAGGGATCGATCATTATTTGAATGTAGGAATGAGTTTCAATCACTCTGGTAAAATATCAACACACTCTTTCTTGAAATAGCAACCACTTCACTTTCTGCTTTTCTTTGATGGAAAACGTCTCTCCTTACTCAATGCAATAAGGTAGGTTCACCACAAAGCGTAACTTCATCAATATCATTTCGTACCTTAGACTCGCGTATTCGTCATTTTCCTTACCTGTCATACAATCTATTGTATATAAAAATGAAACGTGAATTACCTTGTTCATGCAACGAACAACCTAGTTATTTATCGCTATCTTTTCAAATCACTACTGCAACTTTTTCCAATAGCAGCATAATGGTATCAGTAACCATAAACCATTGTGTAGTGTTTTGAAAGTGTACTTAGTCGTAAAAACAAGCAAGCAATAGGGATCCTATATCCTCCGGTCGTTCTTCTTGCGTACCAAACACAAATTGCTACAAATCTATTGGACTTGCTCTAGCTTCCAAATACAATATGTGCAGAGAGTGTACACTCTAAAAGCGCTCTTCCTTCGAATAAATTAAAGCTATTTCGCGAACTTCTTCAAATGGAAAAAGAAAGAGGGGATTGGTTGAGCCAATCATATTGCTGCCCATTGCTCTCAAATCCCCTTTCATTATATTGTTCTCTTTATGTTCGCTCGGACCTTTTCTCGTGCTGTTCGCAGTTTTTCTACCGTAGATGCATGTTCAAACCTTTATTGTAGGGTGCCAAAGTCGCAGTTCTTGGAGCTGCCGGAGGTATCGGACAGCCTCTTTCCTTGTTGATGAGCGTGTCCCCATACGTTCATGACCTTACCCTGTATGATCTTTTCAATACCCCTGGTGTTGCTACGGATCTTTCTCATATTAACAGTGTCTGCAATGTGGAAGGCTATACAGGACAAAGATCCTTGAAACAAGTCTTGACTGGTGCAGATGTTGTTCTCATTGCTGCTGGTCTTTCTCGTAAACCTGGAATGGTCCGAGATGATCTGCTGCTGGTGAACGCTGGTATCGCAATGGAACTTGCCAAGGCTTGTGCGACTTACTGTCCTCAGGCTTGTGCTCTTGTAATTACAAATCCTGTGAATTCAACGGTTCCTATATTCTCTGAAGTATATAAAAAGATGGGAGTTCATGATCCTCGCAAAATCTTGGGAGTTACCATCCTGGATACATTGCGAGCCTCCACTTTTATCGGCCGTGAGCTCCACACAAAGGAAAAGATCGAAGATATTCCTATCGTGGGAGGTCACGCCGGCAAGACGATTATTCCCCTTTTCAGTCAGCTTCCCAACAACCAGATGACGATGATTGATATTCCTGCGATTACTCATCGTATCCAGTTCGGAGGAGATGAAGTGGTCGTAGCGAAGGCCGGAATGGGTTCTGCCACTCTGTCCATGGCGTACGCTGGAGCCATCTTCGCTGAGTCTGTGTTGAAGGGACTGAAGGGAGAGGAAGGCATTGTTGAGCCTGCGTATGTGGAGCATGAGGTGTATGGATGCCCGTTCTTCGCTAGCCAAGTGGAACTTGGAAAGGACGGAGTGAAGAACTGTCTGCCGATTCCCAAGACGATTACAAATGAGGAGGAAACGAAGATTAAGGAAGCTATTCCGATTATTCAGAAACAGATCGCGAATGGTATCAAGTATGTTGATCAGAACTTCTAAGTGTGAATTGTTTGTTATCGAAAAGTAGTTGTTTTTCTTTATTTACTCTAAATGGTATGATGTGTATTGGTTTGGTGAGATGATTGATGCACTAGAATGTATTAGGAAGAATCGACTCACTTACTTGATTGCCTTGTATCCCAAACCTGATTACACCATTGCAATGAATCCATCTCTATCAAGGCGACTTGAACAAACAACATAACAGATCAACCTCTTAATTACACACAAAAAACCCTTAGGTCTTTAACACCAAATCGCCCTTGCAGCAATGAGAATGAAGAGCAGATCCCGTGTCAAAATGGCGCAGCGCAGGAACCATAAAGGCATCTTGTCCGAATGGGTTTCTATGTCCAAAACAGCCATTTCGCTTACATTTGGCTATGGCACATCATGCACGTCGCTGTCAGCAAGTCATGGTAGTTATTAATCCACTTCACCACTTCCAGCGCATCTTTCTTTCCCTGCTGAGCACAGTATTTTATAAACTATATCAAACAGCCACCTTACAACAAACACGCTTGCCTGCAAACGTCATTTGCTTGAATAGTTCAACAGAGGATATATGGGAGGAGGTGCCTACGATCGCACTCGAGAACTGGCTGGCAGTGCATTCCTGAATCGAAAAGAACTCAACATCCTTGATCTTGTACCAACTTCCCTTGGGCCGCACAGTTAGCTTGACAACGAATAAATCATGAAATTTGTAATAAATGATATTATATATCTTTCCAAACTCCTTCTCTTCGATGACTGGGAGAATCGCCACTTGAGAAAGAATTCTAATTTGTTTGAGAAAGGGAGTGATCGGATTCCTAAATAATAATACTATTAGAAAAAGTAACTACTTCGCATCAACGGTCTTTAGGGAACTTGCATTGCCCTCTCAACGTTAAAATCATTGAATTAATAAGTACTAATATAACTCAGATCATCGAGCACATCCAAAAAACTCGTGTCTATCCGTTTATAGAGTTCTGTCAAACGTTCTGGACGATAGTTGCCTCCATTATCTATGACACATGTGATTACATACGGAATGAACAACATCTCCTCTTTTAATCGTGCTATCTACAAACTCAACCACGTTGGCTAATTGCCACATCTTCGACGAGGTTTTGTGTTGTCCTCTTTCCCTTCTTTCCGGATATATCCAAACTATATGAGTTTTCCATCGACAAAAAGAAAAGTGGGCGATAAACGAAATAACTTCAACAAACACACAAAAATTCGTCAGCTTTATCTTCAAAATCACTAAAATGATGTGTTCGAGAGGCACGGTGCGGAGTGGCCGGAGCCGCCTGTTCTTTTCTATTGTTTAACAGCGCTATTACCATTGATACGAATGTGGAGCAGTAAATGACTTTTCTGGTGACCTTATCTCGTTAGTCGACTGAGCTAAATCACTCTCATCATACTTGAAAGGGCTGTAACGTTCAGGTCTTCTCATAGAGCTGGGATATCTCATATCTTGGCTAAATAAATAGTATAGAAATCGGAATTACGTACGATTCATCCATTGAGGGTTGACCCATTTGAAGCCTACCAAAGAAATCAAACAAAGACATCATATCCATCATTTGCTGCTCAAAGAATTCGTCAATACCCATACCATTACTCTGTGGCCATGATTCTTCCCATTCTTCAGGATATCCAGCCCCTGAGGGTTCCATCGATGGCATCGATTCCTCTTCGGGATAACCAAACCCTGAGGATTCCATCGCTTCCATCGGTTCCATCACTTCTTCTTCAGGATATAAGCCACCGTCGTTAGAGACGTTTTTGGAGAATATTTCAACCTAGAAACATGAATGTACGAAATGATGTACAGGTCGTTTCCTCGGGCAAACGCGAAAAATACGCTGTATCTCTTCACACTTCATTTTTCCATTGACTGACCTGCACTACCCTTGAGATGGGGAGTACGCAACATACTTCTTTCGAGAACTGCTGCGAATAGCCACAGGAGGGATGCTGTTTCTTATCCTCTTCAATGACTTTTTCAATATCGCTCATAAAAACAAAATTCAATACTGCACATAGAATTTCGTGTTTCCACAAATACCACCAAATTTGAAGAAATTCTCCAACCCGTTTTTGTGTCAGATAACCATTAAGGGTCGCTTTTTGGTGCACTCCCTTGTTGTTTGTTGGTTTAGTGAGTTTGATAACGCAGTTTTACCGAGTTATGTCCGCTGTAACGGTATGTGGCGCGAGAGGCAGCCGTTATCGTCTAGACATCTACAGAAACAACTTCGAATCAAACGGAGAACACCGCTCCTCAGACACGCGAAGAAATGTTGGCCGCTCTGAAGAAACAGGTATGCGCTTCTTTTCCGCCTCCTTGACGCAAAGATTGAATATTACTTCTCTAAAGAAAATCTATCGAAAGACTCTTATCTCCTTTCCCTCATGGATGATTCTGGCTATGTTCCTTTAAAGACAATTTCGCGTTTTCACAAGGTCCTTTCTCTTAGCAGCAATATTGACGATATTATGGAAGCCCTAAAGAGCTCTGAGAACGTCGTGGTGGACGAAGTTAGCAAACAAATCAAGCCTGCGATTACTTTTGAACGTAAAACAGTCATTCTGCGTGACGTCCCGGCCGAGGTTACCGAGGAAGAGGTCCGCGCCTTGTTCGACGGAATGGGCGTTGTCGAAAGTGCCACTAAAGAGTTTGAAGGCACGTGGTTCGTCGTGATGGAGTCGGAGGCGGCCGCCGTCGCGGCGCTGGAGCTGCTTCGCCAGCGTTCTCTCCACGACCAGCCCGTGAAAGCTCGTCTGAAGAACGAGTCGTACCTGAAGAACCTCGTGAAGATGCTGACGACCTCCGAGGACGGCATTCCCGCCGAATATCTCCCGGTGGACCAGTCGTACTTCATGAACTTCGGCGGCCAGCCCCTTCTGGACTTCCAGCAGAGCCAAATGTTCGGCCAGAACTTCGCCGTCCAGGCGCCGGCGACCGGCGTGCCCGCCGAGAAGTAGAAGAGACGGAGGGAGAGTGAAGCGTAGGCGCGGCCGGAAGGGCCGGAAGGAGTTCAAGCATCGCGAGCGTCGTCCGCGAGCCGTTTCGAAGCCGAAAGTGGTGCCTGCGCTGCAGAGCGCGGAGATTTTCCCGCCGCTGGTGCCGACGACCGCTCCGGTGGTGGGGTCGATCGACGTGAAGTACTCGTACAAGGAGATCTGCGACATCGTGAAGGGCGTGAAGGATCTGTCGTGCCCGCCGATCGCGTCGGCAGGCGTGGAGTCGGCGCTGGTGGAGACGGCCAACCAGGAGTTGGTGCAGAAGGGACGAACGTTCAGTATCGACCAGGCGCTGCAGCGAGGTGAGAGCGAGGGGCGCGCGTGAGGGGTAGGATGTCCGCGAACGATGTCGGTGGACAGCATCGACTACACGTCCATGCTGCAGGGAGAGATGGACGAGGCGGTCGCGGAGTCGGCTCGCAAGGCGCGGCGCGAGAAGAAGCGCGCGATGAAGATGGGCGAGCGAGGCGAGGCGCATGCTCGCAGCTACCGCAACATTCTCAAGAATTCCCCGCCCGTGGGTGAGGCGGTCGCTCCTTCGACGAAGCCTGCCGCTGTGCAGACAGTGAGTGGAGCCAATGCGGCTAATGCGGCTAATGCGGCTAATGTGGCTAATGCGACTAATGCTGCCAGCACTACCACTGGTGCCAATGCTGTGAGTCCTGTAAGTGGCACGAACGGAGCGGAGGGAAAGAAGGAAGGGAAGCAGCATACAAAGAAGTCGCAGAAAAAGGCGGCAGAAAAGAAGGCAGCGGAGAAGAAAGCAGCGGAGAAGGTGAAGAATGAGGAGGACGGATGGAAGACGATTACGGAGAAGAAGCATTAGAGACACTCATTGTTTATTCTTTTAATGTGTGGAAGAGTTTGATTGTTTGTTGGTCAAACCCAGATTCTGCCGAGAATCCGAGTATTCGATCCTATAGTAATTTTCCACGATGGAATCGGAGTGGTTTCATTATCAGACCATTCATTTTCCTCACTTTTTTCCTAATCAAACAGCATGTCTCACCGTAAATACGAATGTAGGTCTGTGTTGGAGTACTGTGGAGCGATTGTAACGCGTGTGTAGGTCCTCGTCATGGACACATGGGTTTCCTTCCTCGTAAGCGATGCACTCACAACCGCGGTCATGTGCGCAGCTTCCCCAAGGACAAGGCTGACCAGAAGCCTCATCTTACCGCTTTCATGGGATACAAGGCCGGTATGACTCACATCGTGCGTGTCTTGGACCGTCCCGGAAGCAAGGCCCACAAGCAGGAGATCGTGGAGGCTGTGACCATTCTGGAAACTCCTCCCATGGTCGTCGTGGGTATTGTGGGATATGTGGAGACTCCTCGCGGTCTGCGCACCCTGACCACCGTGTTCGCTGAGCACTTGGATGACTCTTGCAAGCGCCGCTTCTACAAGAACTGGTACAACAGCAAGAAGAAGGCCTTCACGAAGTACGCTGCCCGCATGGCTACGGACGAGGGCAAGGAGGCCATGGAGCAGAAGCTGAAGAAGATCGTGGACTACTGCCAGGTGGTGCGTGTGCTGGCCCACACCCAGATCCAGAAGCTGAAGATCGGTCAGAAGAAGGCCCATCTGATGGAGATTCAGGTGAACGGTGGCAACATGGAGGAGAAGGTGGCGTTCGCGAAGAGCCTTCTGGAGAAGGAGGTGAAGGTGAGCGACGTGTTCGAGCCGAGCGAGATGATCGACACGATCGGTGTGACGAAGGGTAAGGGCTTCGAGGGTGTGACCACCCGTTGGGGCACCACTCGTCTTCCTCGCAAGACGCATCGTGGTCTGCGTAAGGTGGCTTGTATCGGTGCCTGGCATCCTTCGCGTGTGCACTTCACCGTGCCTCGTGCGGGTCAGAACGGATACCATCACCGCACCGATGTGAACAAGAAGATCTACCGCATTGGAGCTGCGGGCGACGCCAAGTCCGCTTCCACGGAGGCCGATCTGACGGAGAAGAGCATCACTCCCATGGGAGGCTTCCCTCACTACGGAGAGGTCAACAACGACTGGATCATGGTGAAGGGAGGTGTGATGGGATCCAAGAAGAGAGTCATCACGCTCCGCAAGTCCCTCCGCACGCACACTCGCAGATCCGACCAGGAGAACATTGTCCTGTCCTTCATCGATACCTCCTCCAAGATGGGTCACGGAAGATTCCAGACCACCGCCGAGAAGGCCAAGTTCTATGGAACCCTCAAGAACTAAGAGAGTCGAACGATCGATTGGGAAATAATTGTTTGTTTGAAATGGAGAGAGTTGTTTAGTTTTGTGATGGAGAGGAGAGGGGGTGGTTCTAGCTTTGGTGTTTATCACTGATGAAGGAGAGAAGCACAGAACATCGTGCAACAATCGATTGTTGGGTAAATCGTAATGGATTCCAAGTGTCAAGTGCTAACGTAGTATAATCCAGTGTGATAATTAACAACGTATAAACACTTGAAACGGGCAGTAGAAGTGGCTAATATAGTACAAGTAGATCGTTTTCGTTGTACTATCGACTTCTCAAAAAACACTGTACCTGGACTATTTTGGTACATGCTCATTTTATTAAACTACACAACAAAATTCAAAATAGTTCAAAGACACAAATCTTTCATTCAACATCCACAAAACAATATTCATGCAAAATACTCCAAAATGCCTACCAATTATAATTTGGTCAGATCAGCGATTGCAGATTATCTTCAAGATACATTTATCATTCAAACTGTTCAAGGACGTTTAGATGAAGAAATGAAAGTTGATGGCTGGATTTCACTCATTCTGAGGAACAGAGAATGTATAGTATTGAAATTTTGTAACGGAATATTTATGAATGAGGTATATATGCTAAATGATGATAAAGTCTTGAAAGCGTTTCGTAACGACAGTTTCAGTGATAGTTATTGCTGTGTAAAGCGTTTAGAAGACGGTATTATAGACTTAGATCATGGTACAAGATTTGAAGGAAAAGTTTTGTATGGAATTCCATTTGGATATGGTGAAATGTATGATGATGATGGATTCTTGGTGTACAAGGGCATAATGATCAATTGGAAACGATTTGGCTATGGAACGAGTTATCATAATAATGGAGCGATTGAATATGAAGGATATTGGTGTGATGATAATCGATTTGGAATTGGAAAAGTGTATGATCGTAAAGAAAGGCTTATTATTGAATGCGAATGGTATAATGGAATTGAATGCGATATTGATGAATATGTAGGAAATGGCTCAGAACCAATGAATATCGGAATGAAACATTTGAAACTGTTTGACAATTGTGTATTGGATGATTGGGATGTTTCATTGTTGTATAATTTGGAATCAATCGAAATCGGGAATGAATGTTTTGGATCAGTGCAAACATTCAAAATCGATGGATTGAATCGATTGAAAACAATCAAAATCGGAAACTATTCATTTACGCAGAAAAAGAAATATTATGGAAACGATGAATCGAAATCATTCCACATATTGAATTGTGAATCATTGGAATCCATTCAAATTGGTCGATATAGTTTCAGTGATTTTGCTGGCGACTTTGAATTGAAGAATCTACCACAATTACAATCCATTCAAATTGGTACAATTGGAAGTGATTCATACAATTTCTACCATAGTTCATTTGTGATTCGAGGTATTGATTTGATATTGAATATTTGAATGATGCATAGATCTTCCAAATCTACAATTCATTACATTAGGTGATTGTACATTCCAAAAACCCTTCTCAACAATAATTGAAAGTATTGAATGAATTGGAATGAAATGATTGATGTAGATCTTCCATCATTACAATCCATTCGACTAGGTCAATGGACACTTATTGGGGAAAATGATAACGAATCGTGTTCATTAATAATGCGAAGTAATTTTGAAATTATTCGAAATGATTTGGTTTATAGATCTTCCAAATCTGACATCTATTATCAATTGTGATAGATGGTCTTTCTTGTTTTCGCGTTTAGTGATTTTGGAAAGTTATTTTTGTAATGAAAATAATAGTACTTAGATATTCCAAATCTTAATAATGTCAATATACTCATATATTTTGGTTTTCTTGTTACACCTATCGTTTGTAGTAGGATGTCAAGTAAATGCTACCTATGCAGATATTACTCCAGTATTTTTTCCTTATAAAGTCTTTAATTATTCTTATATTCAATCAATTAATATAAGTGCTACTTCCATTACTATTCCAAATTGGACCTGTAATGAAGAAAATTACAAAGTATTTGATTTCTCACGTTTTTCTTGTGTTGAATCAATTGAGATTGGAAATAACTGTTTTGGATCAGTGCAAACATTCAAAATCGATGGATTGAATCGATTGAAAACTTTAAAAATCGGAAACAATTCGTTCACTCAGAAAAAGAACTGGTATGGAAGTGATAAATCGAAATCAGTCCACATATTGAATTGTGAATTGTTGAAGACAATCAAGATTGGTCGATATAGTTTCAGTGATTTTGCTGGAGACTTTGATTTGAAGAATCTACCACAATTACAATTTGTTCACATTGGTACAATCGGAAGTAGATCATTTAATTTCTACCATAGTTCATTTGTGATTCGAGGTATTGATATGATATTGAATATTTGAATGATTAGATCTTCCAAATCTACAGAAAATTGTTTTAGGGAGTAATGCATTCCGTGAATACTTTTCAACAATAGCAGCAAGTATTGATTACAATTGAAATGATTTGTATAGATTATCCAAATCTAGCATCCATTATACAGTATTAAATTTTAAACGATGTTGGTATACTCAGAATAATGGCCTATTGATAATAAAGGTAGTTTCTTTTAGATGATTGCGTCACAAGACTTGATTGATCAAGCGTCATTGATTGATTTTTCCTTTTTTGATAATTGTACATATAGTCGTTAGAAGTCTATTTTATTTTACTATATATATCAATATATAACAAAAGAAAAGTATTTTTTACTCTTCTAGGTTTTCACTTGTACTATATGATTGTTGGATAATAGTAAAAGAAAATACCTACATTTTCTTTTCTATATTTTTCGTATGAAAGATTAAGAAATTTCGATTTATGTTGACATCAAGCCTTAGCTCGAATTGGCCACTGTATATTTTGATACTTTTATGTAGCGAAGTGATGGAACATCAGCGGTCTTCTATTATCTATGATTTTGGTAATCCTTTTTTTGAAGGTGTAAAATTTGTATGTTGGAATAATATTATTGACCAAAAGAGAACGATAGAGACAATAATTATACCGAATTTAATGGGCTTTTCTGGTTATTTCAGTACAAGAGGATAAAAAGTGAATATCAATATAATAAAGAGAGGAGTATTATAATTCAACCCGATTTTGTAATAACTAGAGAAAAAAAGAATTGTTCCAACAAACAACATTCCATTCTTATTGAATCGATTTCACTCAAATGGTTATTCAACCATTCATTACACAGCCAAATAGGCCTTCACTTCTTCCACATTCTCAAAATCAGTCTTCCACTTCTTGAGAGCAGGGAAATCATCAAGAATCGTTTCCTTTCCCTTTTCAACATTGATAAGTACAGAATAAGCGAAGGCATCAGCAACCGTAGGAGCATCCGAAACCATGAAGCGCTTCTATATATTAACAACGTCACAAGCTATATACTCCATAGCGAAGGTACAGATTCTCGAGCTTCTTCAACTCTTCCTTGCATTTGCCTTCCATGAACTCGGGTAAATGCTCCTTCTCATGGAAGGCATAGCGGTAGTAGAGGTTGAGCATATCGCCCCATCCATCCAGCATGATATCAAGATGAACATTGGTAACCTCATCCATATCCTTCGAAAGATACCTAAAAAAATCAAAACTCCGATCAATCTCAGTACTTGCGAGAAATATATCTCAGAATGGCCAAAGACTGGACGATATCCATGCCATCAATATGCAACATAGGTACCTGACCAAAGGGCAGAGTTCCATTCTTCAGTCCCTCTTCCTTCTCAAAAGCCCAATTCTCGACAGCCTTGAAGGTGTAGGGGACATGCGCCAAACCGAGCGCGATCTTGATACTTTCGGCACGAGCCTTAATAGGGAAGTAATACAAAACAGTTTCAGCCATAATTAAAAAATAATAAAATGTTGAAGATTGTCAAAGCTGTTCAGCCAATCATTTGCATCAGTTGACTAATCTTTCTTAGTTTCTAGAAGCGTCCTTGTATTCTTGATGGATTTGCGTAGCGTACGCGCGCTATAACTAAATTGATAGAAGAATGAGGATTGTTACCTGGAATGTGAATGGTCTACGTTCTTTGATTCGTTCTAAGGGAAATATTGAAAGGGTTTTTTCGATTTTGGATGCTGATATCGTTTGCTTCCAAGTTGGTTTGCCTCTATTATTGTGATGTTAGGAAAGCCGTTTAGGGATGAGCGACATCAGTGCAGACTGTATTCCAGAAGGCTATGATGCATTTTCTTCCCATTGTGCACACAATGGCGGATATTCGGGAGTTATAACGTATGTCCGTAAGGAAATGCTGCCATCTCGCGTTTATTACTCATTTGAAAAGTTGCTTTGCATCTTCCCTGTGATTTAGTTTTCTTGGTTCGTTCTCTCAACATCCCAAGTCTACTATTTATCAGCGATACGACAGTGATTTTGTAAAGTCAGCTGACATGGAAGGACGAGTTTGCTTTACCTTTTTTGATAATTGTGCGATCTTGAACGTTTACTTTCCTTGTGGCTCTGAGTATTACTGTTCTAAGCTTATGATTATCTGCTAGAGAAGATTCAGCTCGTTGTTCTTTTCGCGAGCGTTTTTATGAGCTTATAATGGATCTTGTAAAGATCATCAAAGTCGATTACCCAAACTGCATTTTACTTGGCGATTTCAACACAGCTATTGGTATTATGGATTCTGCCTATGCAGAAAATGACCTTGACATCACCGGTTATTTATCCGTTTTTCGCAGCATGTCGGATTGGCTGGAGACTCTGTTATCATCCGAAGAGTTCTTCCTTTTATTTGGCCTTCATGATTAGAGACGGAGGATGTGGGATGATCGATTGCTTCCGTGCGCTGTATCCCTCAGAACGAAATGCGTACAGCTGCTTCAATACGAAGCTGAAAGGCCGCATAAACAACTTCGGAACGCGGATCGATTACATCGTGTGCACGCGTCCGCTGCGAAACTGTTTGGTGGAGTGTGCGATTCGATCGGATGTGACGGGGAGCGATCATCTGCCTGTCGTGGCAGGTCTGGTTGGGTGGGAAAAGTGACGAGTAGAGTTCGATTTTTCGGTGAAGAGCGAAAGTTCGGTGGTGGGATTGCGGTCGAAGGTGGGCGAGCAGCCGAAGATTCTGTCGTTCTTTCGAGTGAATCGGGTTGGAAAGAGGGGAGCCGAGGCGAAAAACTCGCAGGAAGGGAAGGAAAGAAGGGAGTGTGCGGAGTGTAGCGAATGTAAACAAGGGGCAGAATTGAAAGAAGCAAACTTCTCTGGGAATGAATCATTGGATTCTAAATCTTCAATTGGAGCATTGGATTCAAAGTCATCAAAGAATTCTTTGGATTCAAGGTCGTCAAAAGAATCCGAGGATTCAAAGTCATCAAAAGAATCCGAGGATTCTAAACTTTCGCACACACACTCTCCTTCAATTCATCCTCTTGATTCAAAGGAGCAGCATAGCAACACTCAAACCAAGGAAGAGGCTTCCACGGAGTGGTCGTGCGATCGCTGCACCTTCCGAAATCAATCAAATGAGAAGCTTTGCAAGATTTGCGGGTTTTCGCGAGCTCGCTATTCTCAAAATGAATCGATGATCGACGCGCTGTTTAAGGGAAAGAAACCACGGACGATCCCTCGCTGCACAGTCCACGGACTGCCCTGTGTACGCCATCAGGTGCAGAAGGAGGGGAAGAATAAAGGGCGTTTTTTCTATGTTTGTTCGCTGCCCATTGGGTTTCGAAATGATCCCAAAGCAAAGTGTAACTATTTTCAGTGGGAGGATTCGTACATTGTTTGTTCATGACAAGTGATTCACTGTATGATGAATGTGTTACTTTGTTGAATTACTGACTTGTAGCGATTGTGGACATTTTGTGCGAATTCTTTGAAGTAGTTATTCACAACTTCTTTTACTATTCATCCTATTATGACCATGGTTAGCAGTTTCCTGACTTCTTCAATTCTAGTGTTTTTCGAAAGGAGAACCAAATATGATTGTGTCGTTTATATGTGTCGCGTTCCAGACGTTGTTCTCTACGTACGCAATCTTGTTCAGAGTATTCGTCCCTGGATTCAACGAGTTTGCATTGAATTGTATTTCTACTTGTAGAAACAACTCCACTCCATCAATCTAGAACTCTCTACCCTCGAGGGAACACAACTGGAATCCATGTACATTAAAGCAAGCGAGAATACTTTATCCTCCTCCGATTCCATCAACTTTTCGTATGTAGGACTACGTGTGGATTTGCCTCATCAACTAGTTAGAAGCTTCTCTCGGTTATACTCTTCGCTCATTCTCACAGATCCCTTTTCTCGAGAGACTTCCAAGTGAGCTTGAAATAGGTACATCAAGACTTATGCATAGTAAACGCTCAATTTTCGGTGCATATCGATGTAAAAGAAGAAGCTGAAACAAAACCAAAAGCGAATTGGCAGTTGGAGTGCGCTGTATTGATATTCTGGTAAACCCACTCCTTTGTAGTCGGATCAGCCGATTTCCACCACGTCGCGTCGATCCCGAAGCGCAGTATCCACTGTATTTGCCGGACCTTTCACTTTTCAATTTTCGTTTTCCCATTTTCCTGTTTGTGTAGCAAAACAAAAGTAAAGGAGATTATTTGTTACAATAGAAACCAGTTCATCTACAACTTCGTCAGACATCCGTTCAGGACATTCTTCAATAACCTAATACTCACTAAAGAGCGCCGATCGTACAGTGTGTATATCGACAGCTTGAACAGGAACGATATTTATCATTTGCATCTTTTCGTTCGGAGTCAGGTGAACTCCGTGTCTTGTTTCAAAACTTTCCAGTTCGCGTAAAAAATTCTGTATCCTACAATTCAAACAAACAAGCATATCCACTTTTCGTCAGAGAGGTGGCATGCAGGCGTCATTTCGAGATATCGCATTACGGCTGATTTTGTCCATGGAAATTCTCCACTTCCAGAGAGCGTTTTATCTCCCTTCCAATCTTTCAGCGCTTGGTAGACTTCCACGTTGGTAATCAGCTTTATTTCCTTCGCGCTACACGGTCAGCAAGCCCAAGAAGATTACACACATCTCCATGAAAAATCTCTCTAACAAACACTCCAAAACATTTGTTTTCATCTCTTCTCCATATTCGTAAACATTCTCTTTCCAAAATAGTCGGCCGTTACTCCCAGTCCATCCTTCTCCTTCTCCATCTACACATCACGCTCGCTCCTCTCTTCTCCTACCGCTTCCAAGTACTCCTCTTCCGTCGGAGCCGGCTGCAGCACCAAGTAGGGCCTACGTGCCAGGTCGCTCCCACCCCTACTTGAACTTGTACGCGCATCGACTGCATCCCGGCGAATCGGAGGAAAGACATCCGGAATGATAACTATGACCGCACACGAAGCGCACGATCGGCAGCTCCAGCGGGAGATTGCAGTGGGCGCACTTGTTGGTCTGGTAGAGCCTGGCGTCGTTCATAATCGCGGAGATTTCCTGCTTTAAATGCTGATTGGTGGTCATGATGTCGCTGATTTTCTCGCGATCCTACATGCGAATCGAGGCCGAGTCGGTACGGTCTGCACAGCTCCGCGTCGGCGCCGCACGTGTCGAATAATGAACTGCTTGACCATCCCCAGCTGGATGTTGTCGTTCTGCGAAACGATCTGCAGCGCGGTGAGCAGCGGAACCACGTTCGTCTTCTCGATATAGTCCAAAATCTCGCGGATCAGCGCGAGGTTCAGCTCGCTCTGCTGCGCCAGCATCGTCAGCAGCTGGAGCCAGAGGTCATTGCTCTGCTCGCCGAAGGTCTTGCAGACCGCGATGCAGTTCCGCGGGTCGTTGTGCTGCAAGTAGTGCTGCAGCAGCAGCGAGTACATGCCCAGCTTCTTGTACAGATAGACCTGCCCCTCCGCGGAGTTGTACGTCTGCACGAGGATCAGCGCTTCCTCTTCGTCGTACGCTGCGCGCGGGTCGGTGAGGATGCTCATCACGCTGCTTCGCCGCTGCACCACCACTTCCGATGCGGTTTGGCTCTCGGGTTGGCTCGGCTCCGCCTCTTTGCGAAGCGCCAGCTCCAGCAGCGCGTTCCACGTCGAGGCGTCGCACGGCTGCGGGCGCTTCACGACGTCGGAGAGGAAAATGTCGAGGAGATCGCTGTGCGACGCGAAGAGATGGATGTAGCTCGACGGGTTGCCGAACTTGGGGTCCAGCGCCGAGCCGCTCAGCGACGCCAGCAGCGCGGGCGCAGCGGTCGCCAGCGTGGATTTGGTGGCGCGTTTGGAGTTGAAGGAGCGCTGGAGACTGCGGCGAAGCGACTGGAGCGGGGAGAGCGCCAGTTCCTGCTCGGGCTCCGGGGAGTAGAACCGCGAGACGGAGGTTTGTTGATAGTCGGTGCAGAGCTCAATGCAGAGCTGCGTGGTGGGCTGCGGGACCTCGTCGAGGAGAACGCGCCCGAATTCCTGGATCATGGCCTCGGCGTCGTGGAACACGAGCGAGTGGATGTAGTCCACCGCGGTCTGGAAGTCGCGCTCGTATTCGATGAGCAGGCGGAGATAGTCGTGGTGGTACGCGTATTTCCGACTCAGATGCAGCGCCTCCTTCTCCCATCCGCAGTCGGTCAGCACGCGAATCGCAGTCGCGACGTCAAATCGCTTTTCTAGACGTCACAGGAGACGAGACGATCGAAACCGCGACTGTCGGTGTAGATGAACTCCTTGAGCTTGTCGCGCTGATGCATCTTGCAGTAGCAGTTGATCAGGAGCGTGGTGTGCTGCGTGTTCGCCAAGCCCTGGTTGTGCAACGCCTCCAAGTACGTCGTCAAGCAGGGCAGACGCTGCGCGTCCAGAAACCTGCGGATCACGTAGGACGGCTCGAAAACGCCGATGGTTTTGATGTACTCCGCGATGGCCTCCTCGTAGTTCTCTTGCGAGTAGAGATAATCGCCGTATCTACATGGAACGCCTCCCTCGATCGCACAGTTTGTGGATCTCCACGATGCTGCTGTAGGAGAGATTGTTGCTATGCGCCAGCGACAGCGCCATCGGGAACAGCTTCTCTTTGTACAGCACCGCCAGCTTGCTCTGCAGGTCCAGCTTGTGGAGACAGAAGATCGAGTGGTTCTCCGTCTTGATGAACACATCGCCCCATTCGCTGAACACGCACTCCACCCAGTCCGGTTCTCCGTTTCTCCGCGTTACCCCGTTTCTCCTCCCCTACCTCTCCAGCCGGCCCTGGAACTCCACAAAATGGGCCTGCGGGTTGTAGATCGTCACGCGCTGCGCGCCGGAATCCGTCCGCGAGCCCACCAGCAGGCAGTCTTTGAAGCTCGCCACGCACTGCTTCTCCCCCTCCAGCGCGTAGCACCCCACGCTATCCAGGCCTCGGAAGCGAAACAGCCCGTCGCGCCGGCCCACGATCAGCTCGCCCGTGTCGGTGAGGCACGCGCAGCCCCGCCTGCAGCCGTTCGAGTCCAGCGAAGTGTACCGGCTGCCGCGCTTCGCGCTCGGCTGCAGCGAAAAAACGCCCGTTTCGCTCGCACTCGTCGCGTAGAGGAGGAGGAGGAGAGGCGAGGAATCGCTCTTCTGCGAGGACGAAGAGGCGTCGGAGCGGGCGAAGTGCAGACTGGTCACGGCGGAATCGAAGTGGAATTCGAAGGCGCTGGGCTGCACCCATTTGGAACGAACCAAATCGCCCTGGGAGAGAGAGAAAAGCACGGCAAGGATACCTTGATGGAATAGATCATGCCGCTCTGGCAGCCGATGCAGAGCGTGTCGTTTTCATCGCTCACCGCCAAGGCGGTGATTACCTCGACCGAGGTGGAAGGGGTAAGTTGGAGTGTGCGCGCGCAAATAGGGTTTCCGGAAGCGTCGGTAGTGCCCATTTTCCATAATTTAACCTCGTTCTCGACCTGAGAGGGAGAAACGGTCACTTCCGATAGTAGCCCCAGATCTTCGATCACCGTCTTGTATTTGGAATTCAGAAGCAGTGAACTGCGATACATATTCGCTACCGACTTAGATTTCTCGGCAGCACTTGGTTCACGAATATCTGTCGACGAGGCAAGTGTCAGCAAGATATTTGATGATTTATACTAAGCGTTACGTACAAAATAGGCAACGGTACGAGATAAGCAAAGTTAATACATCCTTTGTGCGCTTGAAATCGCCGCAGCGAATAATTCTGGTTGCAAATCGTGACACCACCCTCAGAATCCGAAAAAATGAGTTGACCATTTCCTCCTGTGACGGAGGTGATATCTAATGCCTAGGATCGTGAGAATGGATTCCGTTGAGGACATACCTGTGTTGCATAGAGTGGACTCGATGGACTCTCCGATTGCAACAACTCAGAGACAAAGAAATCGAATTTCCTCCACATTTGTCAGAGCTATCTAATCTAAATAAATATCTAGACTCAAATTGAGAAGTCTAAATCGATAAGTATTCAAAGTATCGCGAATTAGAACCGCGGAAGTGAGCCATTATTGAAAACACCAAAATTCTAAACCAGCTTAAATAGGAGTTGAATCTGAAATAGAGCAGATGTATGTCGGTAGGGTATTAGGAACCGTTGAAGAGTATAAAAGGAAAATGGTTTCGATGGTGTTGGATAGGCACATATACTACTCTATATTCGAGAAATGCATAAACAGGAAGGATTTATGACTCTTGGCTATTGGTGTCTACACAATAGAAGGATTTGTACAGCAAGCTTGTGTTCTTTCATTTCTGATGTTCGTAGAATCGTACTGATATGTTGAAAATACTAGTGATAGGTCACACTTTTGACAACCTTTGACATGCAAAGGATGGATATGCATGAATAATATCATTTAAAAATACAAATAAGTAATGATTATGAATCGTAAACCACCCGTTCGGCAGATATACCCACTTTTGTCAATTACGACACTTCGCACATTCTTCAGTTTTCTCAGTACGATTTCTAAATTAACTTTTGTTTTCTGATCAATTACAGTGGGAGGGAAAGTGTTGATATCTCACAAAAAAGTTAGCGGCATGGCCTTCGCAACAAAGGAGTTTAAGAATAGATTTGGTGAAGATATTGAATTGTCGAAAGCGGCTGGTGTCTATGGACTTGTTGACCAAACCATGTCTTTGGATGGGTGGGTACTCATTCTATTTGATGATGAAAATATTATTTCTGCGTGTTACAATAATGGAAGATTCAACGGCGAAGGCTATCTGCTTAGAAAGGAGAAAGTGTTGAAAACTTGTGAAAGGGGCATTAACCTTGAAAAAGTGACAAAATGCCAAGCGAATTCTGAGTCTGGAGAACGCTTCGAAGGACAACAGATCAATGGGGTTCCATATGGCGAAGGAATACTTTATGATAAAAATGGCACTGCTGTCTATTCCGGAATTGTGATTAACTGGAAAAGGGAGGGATATGGGGTGAGTTACTATACAAACGGGGCATTGGAATATGTGGGAACTTGGTGCAACAATACGAAGCAAGGCTGTGGAAATCTCTATTCCACGACTGGACAGCTGGTCCGTTCCGGTGAATGGGTGGACGGAAAGGAAGTGAATGGAGAGTACAAGGGGGACGGAAGCAATTTACACACTCGGGTGAAGACATTATCTCTCTCGAATAAGTGCAAGTTCACAAGGTTTAGTGTGGAGCACCTTCCTCTTCTTAAAGAAATTCAAATTGGAGAGAAGACGTTTTCCGATGCCCCTAACTTTAAGATAAGCAACATGAAGCACTTGCGTAGTATTCGAGTTTGTGAGCAAGCGTTTACGAGCGAGGGCGTGGAAACCAGTCCTAGTCGTTCGTTCTCAATCACAAATTGTCCTGTGTTGAGTGTAATAGACATTGCTCCAAACTGTTTTGGCGATTTTGGGGGTGATTTCGAACTGCAAAACCTGCCCCAACTAGAAAAGCTTCTGATCGGAAGAATTGGAAGTACTTCGATCAGTTTTTTAAGCTGCTCTTTTGTCCTGCGAGGTCGCTCTGCGCTTCCCATCTAACCCAAATAGACCTTCCCAACCTCCAAGAGATCGTTCTGGGAAAGCGCACTTTCCAGCACAGCATGAACACCATTTTAGAGAGTGGATTCCCCTTGGGTCTGTGAACTAGATTTGCCCAACCTCACCTCCATGAAGCTCGATCGCTACGCGCTCGAAGGCGAGTTCGACCCTCTCAGCTCTCTCGAAATGCGCGGTAGGAGCGTGGGAGAACGCCTTCCATGGAGACCTTCCCTGTCTCAGCCAGCTCACATCCAAGGGAGAAAGTTTCCAGTTTCCTCGTTTTGTGACGCTGTCGAGTATCCTCCAGCTCATTGCTCAGCGATAGACAGACCTTCCGAACTGCTTCAACGTGCAGCTCCCCAAGTCGTTTCGCGAAGTGATGTTCGCCTCCGTCAGCGGTACGCGATCCAACATATCTCTCTCATCAGACGTTCACTTCGCTCTCTCCTCCCAAGTGCCCCCGACCTGCTCCTCCGTGTTCATCGACGCGCTCGACTCGCGAACGACTCGCCTCAACCTGCTGGAACGAACCTGCAACCAAGTGGACTACACCGTTTTTGACTTTTCGCGGTTTACCCAACTCGAGGAGCTCTGCATCGCGAACAACAGCTTCCTGTTCGTCGACCAGTTCCGGCTCGAAGGCTTCCCCGCGCTGCGCGCAGTCTGCATCGGCAGCAACTGCTTCACCAAGGAGAAGTACCGATACACCAAGAACCTCGCGCGGTCGTTCTGCGTGCAGAAGTGTCCGCGGCTCGAAGCCATTCGGATTTATGAGCGAAGCTTCATCGATTATTCGGGCGAGTTCGTCGTGGCGCAGCTCCCCGCGCTGCGCGTGCTCACGATCGGAGACCTCAATCGGGACTCTTACAACTTTTTTTATTGCTCTACGTTTACTTTAAAGAGTAGCTCGCGCTGTTCGAGGGAGGACTCACACGCAGATCTTCCACAGTTACAAAGCGTCAGTTTAGGCAAATTTTGCTTCCAGAACTCAGTTCATACCATCTTTCAAAGTCGGAAGCAGGGGAAGCGTGGCATGTAGATCTTCCTCAACTCCAAAGCATTATGCTCGGTGAATGGGCGCTCTTCGGGTTTTGGAGCATGCACTGCTCTCTCAAAATGCAGAGTAAGTAGCGGTTGCACACATGAGAGACAGATCTCCCCTCTCTCGCAACTGTGGTATCCAATGGGTTTAGTTTTAAATACCCGCGCTCTGTCGTGCTGAAAAGTAGGGGTGGACCGTTCCTTCCAGGTAGATATTCCGCGGTTGAAGGTAGTCAGTTTACCTGACTCTTTCCGATGGGTTCGAGATAAGAATATTTCTAGTTGGGCTTGGTTCGGAGATTAAGTCTAGGCGATATTCCTGAATTACTTACTAATCTTGGTAAGCTTAAGGGATAGCTATGAGTTTGTTTCCATAAATATGTATTGGTTACATTTGTCGTTTTTTCAAAACGAGAAACAACGAAATCAACTCAAACCTTTCATACCTTTGAATCACAGGGAATAACAATTCCATAATTATTACCTTACAATTCATATAAATTATAACAGAGTGAAATGAATATCATTATACTAACTAAGTATAATAAAAATATAAAGTCAGTCAAACACCATTCTTTTTTTTAATGTGGTTTCGTTGTAGTCCAGCCAAATCAAAACTTGAAAAGGCTATAGAGGATGTTGAAAAAGCTCTTGAAACAGTTAAGCAACAAAAGGAAGCCGTTGAAGAAAAGTAAGATGCTTGGCTTAAATATCAACTAGAGCCCAAAAAAACAGAAACGAACAAGTTGACTTTTACAACATGGCTAAACGCCACAAGGTGAAAGGTGAAGTCGATAGTAGTTTTGAGATTCTGGAATTACCATTAGGTGCTAAGGATTGTCTAAAGAAAGTTGTGTCTCGTAAAAGAATGGCAGACATGCTAGGAGTAGACATTCCTGTTTTCTCTTCCCATTAGAAATATTTGACAAAATATGATGAATTTGAATTCTCTTTGGAGAGTGCCGAGGAAAGTCTGAAAATCGCTTTGACAGCAAAACAGGTGGCCAAAGCCCTTGAAACTTGCAAGAGGTGTAGCGCTGAAATGGAGGAAGCTATAGATAAAGCAAACGAACTAAAGCAAGTCATAGATGATATGGATCCCGATATGTTCAATATTGATGATACTGTACTTGCTTTTCCCTTTTAGTGGCTCATTTCCTAGGATATCGATTACTTAAAAGACGAGCTGTGCGATAACTCATCGAAGGAGATCAAGGAGCTAATGAACGGCGCGGTATTGACCTACATCAAGGAAAACCTTCAATCGACCGCCACCAAATTCTTTTTGAGCTCGTTCACCAACCGCTACATCAACAACCCCGTGTACGAGGACCACTACTCGACCTTCAGCGACGTTCTGAACGATTTCTGGATAAATCTCCCGAAGCTGGTGAACAGCCTGCTGAACAATTACGAGGAGCAGCTCAAAATCGAGGCGGCCTTCCTGGCCGACGACAGCACCGATCAGATCCAGCTCCATCTCAAAACCGTGCTGGAATCGTGGATCGACACGTACTTCCTGAAGCTGAACAAGGCAGGATTGCAGATGGAGATGGAAGCGGCGTGCGACAAGGAGTTCGAGAGCATGCTCAGCACGCTGAACGAGACCGAGCAGACCCCGCAGGAGATCATCCAGACGATGCTCAAGCGGATCGTGAAGCAGATGGTCGTCGTGTTCAAGCAGAAGTGGGAGAATCAGATGAAGGACCCCACCGCCAAGGCCAGTTTCGAGGACAGCTACCGCAAGATGATCGTCGAGCTCACCAATCAGCTCACGGGCGAGGCTCCCGACATTCTCGCCTCGCTCAATATCACCGTGCCCGTGCAGCCCCCCGAGCAACCGGAGATTCCGACCACTCCGCTCGCCCAGGCTGCCGTGGCGCGGACCGAAATGCCCAAGGAGCCGGTTATGCCCAAAGAACCGGAAATGCCCAAGGAGCTGGAAATCCCCAGGTTGCCGGAAATGCCCAAGGAGCCGGTAATGCCGGTGCTGCCGGCAGTTCCGACGCATGTTCCTGCGAGTTTTGTGCCGCCAAAGCAAATCCCGGTGGCTGAAGAAGCGAAGGCAGAAGCGGAAAAAGAAGAAGAAGAAGAAGATGATAATGATGATGATGAGTGTTATATCATGGTGGAACCAGAACCCAGGCGTCAAACCATCAAGTCCCTCACACCTTCGAGGAACCAATCCCCGATTCCTTCTCCTTCTCCTTCCGTGTCTGCAGCTCCAAAGAATCAACCATCCGCTATGGCTCCTCCTTCCGTGTCTGCAGCTCCGTCCTCGCTGCAAGTTTCGATGATTCAGCCTCCCACAACGACGACTACCTCCTATTCACTCGGCTCTGGGATGACATACACCATTTCAAAACCTGCCCGGATCACACCTGCAAACGCCCCGCCCACTCTTCAAAAACCCCTTTTCAGGCCAGCGCCCTTGGCGAGGCCGAGCTCCAACCGGAGAGTTTCCTCCTCGTAATGAGTGTCCTTCCTTTCCCTGTTTCCTTCGAACAAACACACCGCAACAAGCACAACACACTACTAAAACAACAAGGAAGCGCAGCCGGCGCTCCGCAGAACTTCAGAAAGCGTCCGCCCTTCGGGTTTGAGAAGCCTTCGTCATATGCTCTGCCTCGCAACCTTCGCCCTTCCGCCTCATCATTCAATCACCTTCGTTCCTGGCCTTCCTCTCTTTCTCTCTACCAGCAACGAAGGCTTAACCTCAGCATCCTCCCTTCTTCGCGGAGGCTCCCGACCGCTTCGTGACGCTCAGCGTGGTGAACTCCTCCGCGATGGTCGGGTGGATGCCCACCAGATCCATCAGATTCTGGTACGTCGCCTTGGTCTGGAACGCCAGTCCGAAGCCCTGCGTGATTTCGCCCGCGTTCGGCGACAGGATGTGGAACCCCAGGATCAGTCCGTCGTCGCGCTTCGTGATCAGCTTCGCGAAGCACACCTCCTTTCTCCGGTGCGGCGAGATCTGCCACTCCAGCGGAGTGAACTGGCTCACGTACACCTCCACGTTGTCCTCTCCGAACCGCTCCAGCGCCGCCTCCTCCGTCAGGCCGCAGTTTCCGTACTCCAGCGGGGTGAACACCGTCATCGGCACGTTCTCGTAGTCCATCTGCACGCTGCTGCCGCCGTACAGCCGCCGCGCCAGCAGCTTGCCCGTCTGGATGGCCACCGGCGTGAGTTCCTGCTTGCCGTAGAGCACGTCGCCGATGCCGTAGATGTTCGGCACGCTCGTCTGCTCCTGCACCGACAGGATCTTCCCGCGCCGCGTCTTCACGCCCAGCTGGTCGAGGCCCAGGCGCTCCGTGTCCGCGTAGCGGCCGATGCAGCTCACCACGGTGTCGAACTCCTCCTCGCCGCGCAGCTCCGAGTTCGCGAAGCCGCTGCCCTGGTACTTCACCAGGATGCGACCGTTCGGGAGACGCTGCAGCTCGGTGGGGACCGTGTTGTGCAGGAAGTGGATGCCCTCCTCCTTCATGAAGTCGCCGATCTTGTTCGCGCATTCCTGGTCGAATCCGCGGAGCAGGATCGAGCGCACCATCACCGTCACGTCGAAGCCAAGGTGGTGCAGGAACCCGGCACACTCCAGAGCGATGAACGAGGCGCCCACCAGAAGGGTCTTCTTGGGGGGATGGTCCAGCATGAACAGATCATCGCTCGTGACCGCCAGCTCCTCGCCCGGGCAGCCCAGCTTGTTCGGACGACCGCCCACAGCCACGATGATGCGGCGACACGTGTAGATGTGCTTCTAGAAATGAGAGAACGACACAAAACACAAACATCACCGAAAACGTCCGTGCCTTCCACGGTGTGCGCGTCCTTTACGTAGGCCAGCTGGTTATAGTAGGTGACGTGCTTCGACATCAGAGACACGCGGTAGTTGTAATTCAAGCCGCGGATGTAGTCCTGCACGTTGTCCACCAGCGTGTTCCAGTGGTGGTGAACCTCGGGAACGTCCCAGCCGAAAGAGGAAGCGTCGCGAACAAACTCGCCGATGATGGCGGCTTGGTGCATCAGCTTCTTGGGAATGCAACCGACATTCACGCACGTACCTCCGAGACCCCAAGTGGATCCCTGAGGAGAGGGCTTTACATAATCAAATAGAGCGACAGTGGCTCCGAGATCCGCGGCCTCCTTTGAGGCAGCCAGACCTAAAATATGAGAAATCCTACCCGAACCGCTTACCTCCAGAACCACCACCAATTACAATCAAATCATAATCGTATGTGGTCTTTCCGTCGTCAATATCCTCCTGATACGTCAGAGACATTGCGCGATTTGTTTAAAACAAATTGTGAGCGATAAATCAAAACAGAGAGATCCTTGATTACTATAAACAATTGAGATCAAATGGGGATAACTGTACAACTCTATTTCTTTGTAAACAAATGATCTGCATTTTACACTGGTTTCCCTTTTTATTGGAGAAAGAAAAGGTACACGATTCTACTTTCCTCACAATCTATCCCTTCCTTGTAATCCCACCACGACACACACACACACACATTCTTCGAACAAACACGCCAAAGGAGTGATAAATTACTGAGATCTTTCCAAAATCTCAGACACGGACTGCTTTCCATGAATCGCCCGGATCGTATCCGCCAACAGCGGAGCCACAGACAATTGCACGATCTTCTTGTTATCTCGGGAGCTCGCCGACAAGGGAATGGTATTCAACACCACGACCTGCTCCAGCACGGAATCGGTGATATACTGATTGGCGTTCTTGGAGAACAGTCCATGCGAGGCGAACGCGAACACTCTTCTGGCTCCGTGCTCCTTCAGCTGATTGGCCGCCTTGCAGAGCGTTCCCGCAGTGTCAATCATATCATCCACGATGATGCAATCGGAATCCTCGATGGTGCCCACGAGGTCCATCGATTCGATGAGTCCCGGCTTCGCTCTCTGCTTGATGATCATCGCCACGCCGGCGTCCACGCCGTGCTTCGCCATCAGCGCGTCGCGGAACTTCTTCACGCGGTACACGCCGCCCGCGTCGGGCGACACGATCACCGGCTTGTGCAGCTCCATCTCCGCGAAATAGTCCACGCCGACCACGCCGCCTTGCAGGTTATCCACCGGCACGCGCGGGCCGAAGAAGCCTTGGATCTGGCCGCAGTGCAGGTCCACCGCCACCACGCGGTCCACGCCCATCGCTTCCAGAAGACGCGCCACGTCCGCCGCCGAGATCGGCACACGGCCAGACACCTGCGGGTGAATGCATCGGGGAAACGGGGAACCTTGCGGTCCTGACGCGCGTAGCCGTAGTAAGGAATCACGGCGGTGATGCGGCGAGCGCTGGCGCGGCGGGAGGTGCTGATGAGCATCATGAGCTCCATGAGGTTGTCGTTGATGTTCGGCGGACAGGTCGATTGGACGATGAACAGATCCTTGCCACGGATGTCCTCGTTGATGTCGATCACGACCTCGCCGTCGGCGAAACGGCCCAACTAGGCGTCAGGGAACGGAAATAGGGGAACTCTGCAGGAACCCAACTGAGTACCGAGATCCTTCACGATCTCCTCCGCGAGAGGACGGTTCGAGGAACCAGAGAAGACTCTCAGGTTGCTCTTGATAGCTTCTATTCATAAGCAATCGGATGGCTCCAAGGCATACTATTCTTAGCCTCGCGAGACTGAGCAGGCTACATTGTGAGACCACTCCACTAACAAGAGGCTTACAGAATCAGCGTAAGCAGTCTTAAACGTCTGGTAACCAACGAAAGACGCCAACACCAAACCTCCGGCAGCCTAGTGTGTCAACCCAGGAGAACAACATCTGTACAAAGAGCAGAGAAGATTTGTTGGCTGTCTGAGGAATTGTGGTAGTCAAGGCCTTTTTTGCCACACCACCACAAATAGTAGATCTAGCAACACGCTGGAAAAGAGTTCTGCAACCTGCGAACATTGATAACGGAACTATGAGAGTGGAAACCGGAAAACTACAATGATTTTTGACCTGGAAAATATCTTGCCTGCCTCATACGATAGCGATTTATGTTGGGTTTTCTCGTCAGAAGCGCTACCAGAAATGCTTATACCCTTTGCAGATCGTTTTCTGCAGTACCTAGACATCTTCGGACCAAGGGAGTAGTCTCTCCAAAGAACACATATCCCAAAGGAATGGACGCTCCTTGCTACGCCTATTCGGATGCTCAGGAGGACGGCCAACACGACATTTCCCTTGTGGGGGAAGATGTTGCTTTTGGATCGATTCATTCATTGTTAGGAAATTGAAAAATTGCGTCTAGCGGGACAGATCGCCAAGAAAGTGAGTCTGTTCGCTGGATCGCTTGTAAAGCCCGGAGTCACACTGGATTGGATCGACAAAATGGTACTCGTCACATTGAGATTGCTTATTTTGCAGACACACGAATATGCTCTGAGTCTTGGGTACTATCCCAGCTGTCTAGGTAAGGATGGCTTCCCCAAGAGCATTTCGATCAGTGTAAACGAAGTGGTCTGTCATGCCATTCCCGATGACACGGTTCTCGAGAACGGCGACATTGTAAAGGTTGATTTAGTAATGTACGCGGATGGCTTCCACGGAGACACATGCCGCACATTCCCTTGTGGTGAAGTGGACGAGAAAGGTCTTCACTTAATCGAAACGACTCAAAAATGTTTGGATGCAGCGATCAAAGTCTGCAGACCAGGCCAAGATTACTACCAAATCGGTCACGCAATCCAGCAGCTAGCGAACAAGGAAGGCTTCAACGTGTATTCACTCCTCTTTTTTTGTTGATTGCAGAGTGGAGGACTATTGCGGCCATGGAATCGGTCGCTCGATGCACATGCTGCCGTACATTCTGCACTTCGATAACCGATATGGAGGCAAAATGATGGAGAGTCGCAGTTTGCAGTGCGTAACATCTAGACCAAGTGTTCACGATCGAGCCGATGCTGGTAGAAGGAAGCAACCAGGTGTACACCTGGGAGGACGGCTGGACAGTCGCGACGGTGGATCATGGAAGATGTGCACAGTTCGAACACACGATTATTATTCATAAGGATGGAGCGGAGATCTTGACATCGTCTGTTTGTAACAAACAATCAATTGGGGAGAGGGAGAGTGGCGATGATGATGATGGTGGGGATGATGATGACGACGATGATGACGGTGGCTATGATGACGAGATGCTTTCTCTTCGGTCGATCCTTCTAAAGGTACTTCTTTGTCATTGGCTGCTTGGGCAACTTGCTCTTGTTCTTGTTCCTGTTCTTGTTCCTGTTCCCGTTGGGAATCATCGGACGATGTACAGCTTGCAATGGTGGGGAAGAGAAGCATGTTGGACCGGTCGATGCCCAGTTCTTCTACCACTTCCTTCTTGTCTTTCTGCTGGTTCTGGGCGAATTTCAGCGCCTTTTCCACCATCCAATACTCCTTCTCATCCTTGTATTTATCCTCCGGTTTCTCGGAACGACTTCGCTTTCTACTCCTATACAATGAACTAAAACTCAACAAAGCTACTCCTTATCGAGACGATCCAGATTCCTTCGAATCGTCCAACACTTTTCTTCTTCCTAAAGGTGAGTACATCGACGACGCTCGCTACCCAACGCTTATTGTGACCGTTTACTCTACAAATAAGTACTGAAAAAGAGAAATCACCTTCGAAGATGGCGATTTAAAAAGTTTACATCTGCTTTTGCAGGACAATATCGATCCTACGGTAAAGAGTCAGTCCTAACCTCACTGTGTAATAGGCTTCGCTGCCGATCATCTCGGACAGCGACTTTCGCTTCTGCATTTCGTTCAAAATACTCTGAAATCATCAGTTCGAAAAAAAGATCTACATCATACGCTTTTCGCCTTAGTTCCTCATCCTCTGTCGATTTGTCCATAGTTCGATCAAGAAGAAATCTTCCGTTAAGGAGGGGTAAGATACTAGGGTAGTAACACAAATCTACTTTTTTTCTTATTTCTTATCCAAGTGTAAGTAGTGAGCCGAACTGTGACTTAAACGGCGAAGAGACGCCATTGGAATCGAAAATTCTCACAAACCTGTAGAATCTATGAGTAAACCAGAAAATCCAAAGGTATGCAAACCATCCCTCTTTCGCTGATCGGATAGGATCATAAAACCAACTATATGCTTGTTCCAGCCACTATTATAGAAGATGAGTCAAAGTAGGGAATCTCGAATCGAAATCAGTTTTAGGCACCATTCTAAGAAAGGATACAACCGAAGTGGGCAGCTCGCAACCCAGCTAATTGGTAGGAAGAGGTTATCCGCGTGGAGCCAGAATTGTGGATGGTGGCTATTATCTTGGCAATTTATTGTGACGATTCACGTAGTTGTGTAACATCCAGCTATCCTGACTACAATACTGAGGAAGGCAAGTTGATCTCCAAACGTAGCATGCTTCCGAAGCTGTAAGCGTTTTTTTTGGTGTTCGAACCCAGCCAATTCATCTTTTCCGAGAAATACTTCAGCGTCGACAAGTTCTTCCGTCCCTACATGAATGCGGAGGGCTACTTCCCCATCCAGCTGCTCTTTTATCTCCCCATCGTGCAGAGCTTCTCCGTGGATATGGAGTTCCTCGCTGAGGTGTTGAACGAGTCGGACTTCGCTGATGTGGACATGGCTTCGATGACCGTTCGTCCCTCGAAGAACTGGGAGAAGGTGGATCTGCTTGTTAGGTCTGAAGCGTAGTGGGTTCTGCCTGCCGCGACGGAGCAGCCAGCCGAGCAGCCAGCCGCGACGGAGCAGCCAGCCGAACAAACGACCGAGCAACCTGCCGAGCAACCTGCCGAGCAACCTGCCGAGCAGCCTGCGGAACAATCTGCAGAGGCGTAGTGTTCGAGGGCCGAGTTGATTTAGTGATTGTTGCCGTGTTTGTTTGAGAAAGCATAATTTGATTGTGTTGACGCCTTTTGGGTTTTTCCTGATTTGAACGAGGCGTGATACAATGGCTACGGAATATGAAATCATTCAACAGGAAAATGAGCTACTCCACAGGCAGATGGAATCGGTGCATTTGCTTTGAGTATTTTCTGATACCCAGATAAAAGAGGAGCGAGATGAAGCAATCACAAAGCTCGAAAAGATGAAAGAATCATTATCTGCAGCGGATGAACGAAATATGAATACTGAGCGAGAGTTGGAAGAAGCTCTGAGTGAAAACATGTAACAGATCTGTGAATGGCTGTGATGTCCAGACGACTTTATGAAATGGTGAAATCTGCACAGCCCGAGAAGTCAGAGAACGCAGTGCTCATCGGCCTGCAATCTGAAAACCAAAAACTCAAAGGCGTGATCGTGCGTTTGTATAACACCTATACCGAGGAGAAGCAGAAGTTGGTATCGCAGGTATTCCTATTCCACACGTTTGTGTTATTATTCTAATCATGTAGTTGGACGAATTAAAAACATCGCTTCGCACCTTTCGAAACGAGGAGCGATCCGAGTGCAGTCAGCTCTGTGCGACCTATCTCATGGAAATCTCCAACCTGCGTGTATGTGCATCTGCTCATCTCCATCTCTAGGATCAACTCACCGCATCGCAAGAAGCGGCTTCGCGGATTTTCGTGGACTCCGCAGAGCTCTCCTCGCTCCGCCAAGAGAACGACGCCAATCGCACGCTGCTCCAGCTTGACCGCGATCTCCTCGAAGAGTACGACGCGCTGGTTACCGAAAGCGATTCCCAGCTCACAGCCAACGAGAAGACCATCCAGGACCTCGCTCTCGCGCTGCGGCGAGCCCAGGAGGAACGCCAAGTCCTGGAGGACGAGCTGCAGACCTGCCGGCGCCGCGTAGGCCGTGGGATCCCATGATTTTGAGCTTCGGATGTTCGAAAGCGCGAGCGACGCGGGGGAATCGGCGATGAGCACGCTGCAGGTAGCGACGAGGGACGTGTCACACGAAGCGGTTGGAGGGGCTGCGCGCGGAGAACGAGGCGAACGGAAGGGAGATCGATCGGCTGCGCGGGGAGAACGCGCTGCTGCGAATCGAAGTTCGATCGGAACGTCGGTTGTGAAGCGTAGAGCTCGCAATGGGAGGTGAGTTTTTCCCGCGTGGAGTCGGCATTGCCGAGCTTCGTGTCGAGCTTCACGAAGCATCTCTCGGATTTGTCCGCTCTGGAGGAACTGGCGGCGATTTCTTCGCGTCTCGTGACCGGGTTTTTGGATCGTCTGGCGCCGTTCTCGCTCCCTCTCTACTCCTCCTTCTCTCGCTGCCTTCTCTACCTCACACAGATCGCCGACTCTGCCTCGCAGTGCTGTCTCCTCGCGCGGAATCCTTTCCTCACCCACGCCACCTACCTCCAACTCGTCGCCGATCTCCGTCCGCCCGTCGACCGCCTCCTCGCCTTCCTCCGCGACCTCGCCTTCTGGAGCTTCCAGTACGGCGCCGCGCCCTCCGGATCGCCCTGGGAGCTCGGCAAGGACGTGCTCAGCGCCGCCGTCGTGCTGCAGAAGTTCCTCGCCTCGGAAGGAAGCCAGGGCGACGCGATCTGGCGGCGGAACGTCGGGGTTCGCCGGTCCATCGGGCAGGTTCGCGAGGTCCGGATGCAGCTCCGCTTGGTGGCCGCGCTGCTGGCCGCGCAGCGGCGACAGGCCGGCGAGGCGCGGGAGCTGGAGCCCGCGGTGCGCGGGCGCGTGGTGGAAGCGCTGGAGGAGGTGCAGAGCGGCGTGAAGGGCGCGATGGGCGCGGCGGAGCAGCTGGACGGGAAGCTGGGCGCGCTGCGCGAGGCGATGGAGCGCGATGGGATGGCGGGGATCCCCGCGATGTGCGTGGAGGGGGACACGGCGCCGACGGCGTCGCCGCATCTGAGCTGTCTGGACAACAGCGCGCTGTGGAGCGCGGTGGCGGCGTTGAAGGGTGGGGCAGCGAGAGAGAGAGGATAGAGTCGTAGCGGAGAGCACGCAGTGCCTGAAGATGCTCAACGCCACCCGAAGGTATGAAGGAATTATGGGGGCGATGAAACA